GCAGCGTGGCGCAGAACCATTCTATCTCCCTGGAAAATACCCCGAACCACCTGAAGCGATGGGTTTTGGGCTAGCCCTCTAGACCTGCGGGGCTCGAACCGCGTACTCCAACAGCCCATGAGCCGTTGTAAGGTCCGAAGGATCTTACCAGGAGTACGGATGGACTTAAGAACTCATTCTAGAGGTGATGCCCCCATCCCATCCTCATTCCTTCCTGTGTAAATTATGATACATTATTCACTTTATTTGGGGGAAATGGGAAGAGGGGGAGGGGAGGGGCTGGTGTGGAGGCCCTTACAAGTAGACTAAATGGTAGGTAGCAGTAGCTCCGGGCAAGAACTTCGATGGTTTCCATTTGCAAAGGCTGCTCAGAATAAGCAGATGGCATTTCCCTGGCATGTGCCAGTATTCTTTTATCACTGAAATGGATGGATGAGTTGTAAAGCGGTGGAATGGAGAAGGGGACGGCGGGGGGGGAGGGGAGGGCGGAAGGGGAAGGGAAAAGGAAGAGGTAGGGGGAGGGAGCAGTTGTCGTTCAACATGTGAAAGGGCCGATATCTGTGGGGCATGTTAAAAAACAGAAAAATAAAAAATTAATGGTAAGTTTTGGGATGCTTGGGCGAAATGCTGAAAAAAAAAGTTTTGATTGTTGGTAAGCTTTTTGCTGTTTGTTCAGTGCCAACCATGATCTATAGATATTTGCAACTGTTATGTGCCTTACCTTATAGATATTGCTGTGAGATCAGAATATACCAGAGACAGAGGCAGTATTTTGTGAGATCTCTATCATACGTCAGTCAACATCAGCAGATACACACGTATTTTACGTGATCAAGAGAGACAGTACCGTAATTCTTCTGTACCACTACTACACCACTCTACTGTCTTAGAAAAGAAGAAATGGTCAAAACTGACGATGGTGTAAGACTTTGCGCATTAGTATTGCTTATTGGGAGGAGAGAGTGAGAAAGAGAGAGAGAGGTAAGCTACGAGGAAGGTGAGAGAAGTAATCCCTGAATTATCATTATTGTTATTGTTAATCGTTATTATTTATCATGATTATGGGCATCATCATCATCTCCGGATGATAATGGGTACTTATGGATGTTGAAAAGAAAATGATGATTCCTTTACTTCCTTCCTTCTCAAAAAGTGATGATACACCACAGAAAATCATGATTTTTCGCAGCAGCAACAGCAGTTGCTGTTGTTTCCTTTACGCCGTCGCCATATGTACCCATCAAAATTTTCTTCCAAAATTTAAAAAAAAAAAAAGGAAAAACCCCCAGCTTTTGCGTTTTGCCATTTCTGGATTCGATGCATGCTGTTATTTTAGGGCGATGGCCTTGAGGCAGAGCAATATCGGAAACTGTTCATCGGTGGCCTATCGGCTGCAACAACGGATGAAGCGCTTAAGGAGTACTATTCGCAGTGGGGTGAGATAATGGATTGCATTGTTATGCGTGATCCATCGACCAAACGATCGCGTGGCTTTGGATTCGTTACGTTCTCCAAGCAGTCCGAAGTAAGTGCGCTGGCGTTGTTTGTGCCCGGGAATTTGTCAGAAATTTTGTCGGGTAAAGCTGAGAGCTCTCAACTTAACCTAAGCATCAGCTTCATAAATTGGACAGCCCAAAACCGCCGACGGGCTTTTATAAGGCAATTTCCACCCATAAGTTTTCTTGGGTTTAAGCTCATACGTCAGACCCTTCATTGGAAAGAAATGCTTGCGATGAATGCTATGCTCCCACACAGTTATAAAGTGAAGCTTATCGCCTGCTTCTGTACATGCTGAAAGCACCTTTCCAGTCTTTTGTGGGGATCACAAGTTAGTAGGAATGCACAGTGTATTTACTAAGCCGATTGTAGCAACCAGGTTGACCTTGGGAGCCCTAAATGGCAAAGGTGCGATAGATTGCAGCATGATAGAACAGTATGAAAGAAAAGATGAGTGTGAGATAAGACGTTTCGGTCCATTAAGTCAGACTAAATCTTTGAAAATCCTTAATTTTGATACGTTATATCGTTGTAGCGCACCTTCACATCATCAGTGCGCACGCAGCTGTTGTGTAGGCGTAAGTGTAACTTCAAATGCTCAGTTTTTAGGGGTTCTGGTGCTCTTTTTTCTAGTGATGACAAGTTCTAGGCGTTTTGCATCTTCTGTGCCGTCTGTACGTTCTTGAGCTTCTCATCCAGCATTTCTTCTGCATTCGTCCTCAGCAGTGATTTGTTGGG